ACTAATGTGGCAGTATTTAATTGTGAAAGTGAAGGCGTGAATGCAGTTTTTCAACATAGAAACTGTTGCTTGATAATTGAACATACAAGTACTGTATTTGATTTTTCTTGTGCTGCTTGAAAAATAAATACATCAAGCCTGTTTAATGTTCTGTCTGCTCAAAAAGCTGTATTATTTTAAGGAATTAATCCCACCACAGAATGCTTGCAGGCATCTGGTTTTGATATTAGTATCTGCTTGTAATACACTGGCAGTCTTTTTTAAATTTGTCTTCCATTTAAACTGATGGTGAATGCTGCTTTTTGCAGATTTAGGACAAGAGGATCCTCTAGTGTGACTTACTTTTTATTCCCTATTTGGGTACTGCTCATCGTGAATTGATTAAAGTCTTCAGTAGGTCACAGACCTCTATTACATCACTAAGAACTTTTAGGTACGACTATAAAATTTTGATGTAGATTTAGATTCAAAATAGTATGTCGTTCATGTGGATTGTGACACCTAGTTAAAATCAGGATGCTGAGTAAATTAATTGCTGCATATCCAGTTCTCTGCCACAGTGAGCTATTTTAAAACTTTAAAACTTCTACTGTAACTGTCACTGTACCTGGATGAGAATGATTTGGTAAATTGCTGTTTCCAGGAGGAGGAAATGAGCTGCCTTGAATAACATTCAGATATGAATTAGATGAAGCTTATGTCTAGAAAACGGTTGCAATTCTCTAAAACTTGTTAAAATTTTTCCGACTGTATGCAAGTAGTTGTGCAAACACACCGAAAGATAAATTTACATCATGTTGTTCATGCAGTGTAATTTTACTTTCTTGCAGGTATTTAGTTTTCATTAAAAAGGGCAACATGGAGAGTATACATTAAAGGCAGAAGCACTACATTATTCTACTATGATTAAAGATGTATGACAAATTGCTTCGTGGTGTTTTGAGTCTTTAATGCTATAGTAGAGACTGACTTAAACCAGCGGGCACAGAGCTTTAGTTCTGTGATGGTTCTGGTCTTGACCCCATTCTTTATCAAACATGAGAAGTAGTGTTTGGATTCACTTAAAAAAAAAAAAAAAGGAGATGGATCACTTCCGTCAGTTTACCTTATTCCCCGTCAGTTGATGTTGTATGTGCGTAACGTGTAGACATGTGGCTTCATCTCAGTTGTGATGGAACTTGGAAGTCTTGCTGTCTTGTTGAGTCTTTCTATATAGGTTCAAAATTGCCTAATCACATACATTGCTTCTCTTGTAATACTAATCCAAACTCAACTGATAGAAAATGAGATTGTTGTTGTTGTTACTTCCCTGCCTGAATTTACTAATGAAAGCGTAATTACTATTTGCCTCAGTAGTAGCAGAAATCATCTACAAAATCCTTTTCTTGTCTTAATCTAGATCACTAAGAAAGTAGCACTGCTTTCTAGATCAGGTGAGCATAAAGGAAATCAAATCAGAATGTTTAGACTGAAGGAAGAACAGTTATCTGAAGGCAGAGGTAGAGGTATTTTGTTGTCTTAAAAATAACATGGGGAATAAGATCACTTTCATGATGGAAAACACTGAAGAAGCAAAGTCAACGGGTAGTCTCATCAGAGACTTTATGAAATGCACACAGAAATACAGTGGAGCAGTTGCAAGTTCAAGCATACCAGAAAGTGGCAAAAAATAATGCTGAGCTTAATGCCTTGCCTAATACGACCTGTGGTTACTGAACTTTGCTGCTCTTAATAAATTGCGTGTATATGCATTTTGATGCATGTAATGCTGTGCAAAAGAGCTGGCTGAAAAGTATGGCCATTTTTTTTCACTTCAGTAAAAATACATGCTGAGTTAAAATAGCTAGCCATTGTGCAAAAGAGCTGGCTGAAAAGTATGGCCAATCTTTAAATTGTGGAAGTCATTTCTCAGTATTTTTTTTCACTTCAGTAAAAACACATGCTGAGTTAAAATAGCTAGCCACACTTCTTGCACTTTCTAAATAAAATCTCAGCATCAAGATTTAGCTGGATGTTTAGCACGTAAATCAGAGTAAGCTTTAAGGTCTACATTACATTGCTACCTTTTTAGTACCTTTTATTGTCTTGTTTACTCTCTTTGGTCATATGAATGCAGTAGAGTGCATGTGTGTATTCAGTAGAGCTTACTATTTTAAGAGATGAAGTCATGTAATGCTTCAGGTGACCAGTCATGCTTTAGCACTTCAGGAATGGTGTATGTACAATGCCTAAACCCTTTCTTTGCTGAAACAACACAAGTCAGCCCAAACCCTGGAAGAGCTGTGTGGTTTAGAGGCAGAAGGGGAGAAGAGCACCCAGAGATACTTTTATTACTCCTTTACCTTCATGCCTGTCCTGTCTCACTGTTAGCACTCCTCCTCCAGGTTATAAGCTCTACGAGGAAGAACTCTGCCTTGCTGAATTGTAATCATGATAAATGTTGTAGGAGGGGGAAGATATTTTAAATAATTGTGAATCATGATAAATGTTGTAGGAGGGGGAAGATCTTTTAAATAATTCTTGAGTGGAACTAAACAACTCTGGCTAATGTTGAGCATGAAGTGGAAAGAAACTGGTTTTAAAGGGCAAGCCTATTTCAGTCTGCCTAAATTAAAAGCTCCTTTCATGTAGGAATCCAGATCCAAAGAGAGAAAACATGAAGGTAGCTGTACATGGGAAACAGGAGGAAAAAAAAATCACTAGCCTGTTATTAAGTTCAGTGGTCTGCAGGTTTGTCCACAGGTGTTCCTTAGCTGTACTGCAGGTGATAGTACATCTTAACAGAAGCATTGAGAAGTGACATGAGAAATTTTGTGAAAACCAGTGCTTTAAACCAGTGCCTTAAAATCTTAAACAAAAAAACACACAACACTTTAGAATTTTGTACTATTTTCCCCCAAAATTAACTGTCCATCTGATCCTGTTCTCTGTAAAGCCTGACACATGTCACTGCCCTAGATCTGACTGGTCCCCTTTTAGAACAAAAACTAAACTTGCAATTAGGTATGTGGTTTAACAACTGTAAAAATGAGTGGGTGCATTAAAAATTAACAGAGGCCAGATGGCTGCTTTTTATTACTTCAGGTAGGGGGAACTGAAACTATGTAGGACTAAAAGTAGTTCTTCCAGAAAAGAAGCAAAATTTTTGAAAATACAGCAAAGCTTGAGGACACACCAGGTTGATTCACTGAAACTTGTATGTAAATGTACGTCAAAGCCAAGTACAGGTTGAATAGGCTAGTATAAGGCTAGAGCTTGGTAGTAAGATACTAGCTTAGGACTCTGTGAAGGCTTTAATCAAATTTGCTCTATTTATGAAATGAGAACTGCATTTTTTTCAGCTGTTGTCTTTGTTCCTACAGAAGCCTTTCTCTAACTCTACCACTAGTGATCATTTCCAGGCACATGACAACGCTTTGCCTGCTGTTTCCTTCTCAAATTATGCAAGGAAAGAATTTGGACTTGAGAATAGCATTTGCCAGCTGTGTTTTCCTCTGGGGTTGAATACTGACTGCAGCAACTAGTTGTGTAAGTATGTCTTTAACAGAGTCACTAGAGAACTGTTCAACACTCAACTAGTCTTGTCTTTAAGTACTGTATTATTAATAGTAAATTTAAATAAGGTACCACATAATTTTAGACAATATAAAATACAAGAAATACAGATAATATCTAAAAACAATATAAAAATAATATACAAAAAATGCAGACTAGCAGGAAGTCATGTAGACCATCTGTCTTTTAAAAAAATGTTCCTAAATGGATTAAATCAGGGACAGTTCTTCCAGGCTCTGTGAGGCAACTGTGACTTAGAGCCACTGCAATTTAATCACCTATTTCCTATTGAAGTTCACCCTTTCCCCCCCCCGCCCCATCTCCTTCCCTCTTTGGTAAGAAACTATGCTTAAGACTTTAAACTCAAGTTGAAAGCTCTCAGTAACAGAACAAACCCACTGTGCTCCTTCACTAGCTATAGATCATCTACACTCAAAGAACATAGGCTTGTCCTAAAGCCTAATGCAGCCTGGTACAGCAGGCTGAAGTGAAAACAACCTACAGAACCAAGCAGTCTATTCAGGCTGGAGTTAATAGGATACTACTCATTTCTGCCCGAGGTATGCGATTCTCCAAATTGCATTATAAAGTAGTATCACTCTTTCTTTTAATAATAACGGGCTTGGAACTGCATGTCCCAGGCTACATGAAAGCAATACACACAGACCTATCAGCAGGAGCCCCTGAGCCTCTTCTCCCCTCTTATCTAAGCAATTCAGCTGTTTAAAGGAAAACAAAAAAAAAAGCTGATATATTGGTAAATGCAAACATGTTATGTCACCTTCACAAAAAAGCAGTAGCTTGCCTCTTTCTGTTGGAGCCATTGTTACTCTGGGACCCATAAATCCTTACATAGTACAAAATGTCAAAGCATTAGGAAGAGTTTTATATGAGGCAGGTTTAGATAAAGTCCCTTTCCCCATCAAAACCTTTATTAATTGTACAAGACAAAACTTTGTAAATCCACTTCAGACCTAGTCAGTGTTGTTGAAAGCTGTAACTGTATTTACTGGAACAAGAAACAGAATTAAGAAAAAGGCAGTGACAGTCTGGACACCAGAGTAAACAAACTTGCTTTTAATATTAGAGACTGAAAATAGGTCTCCCATCTTCTGTGCTTACAGGAAAGACTCCTCATTACCTCCCTCATGCCTGTTGTTCTTCACTTTGAGTAGAGTAGAACTTGTCCCATGATGGGAGAAAAGGATTTACAAAAATCATAGTGAGGGATTCACAAGTTGTATATAATCCTCTGTTTGACTTCAATACCTGATTTCCAGCTTTCACTGATCAGTAAGCAGAGCCAACTAATGTACATGTCTCTAAGCTTTTCACAGCTTAACTACTTCAAGCTGCCTTCAAAAAACTACTTGCTAGAAGTGTGTGTGTGGCAGGAGGGCATCACAACTGCATCTACATCAACCAGAAAGCACACTCAAACTCGGTTGGATTCAGTCTTTTTTAATAAATTAATGTCATTCAAAATACAGTGCCAGAACATGATGCAGCTGAACATGCTAGTAAGGTTTGTCATGAAGCACCTGTGTTCATGTTAGGTTGGCGGCACCCCGCTACTGCTAGTGGTTCCTGGGATTAATGCCAGAGCAGCACTAGTCATCTGCTCTCCTGCACGCAGGGCACAGGATATTCCTGAACAGTTGGCCCCCCACCCCCCCAAAGTAAAAAACCTGATAGCTAAGGGGTATCTATACACAATCACACTACAGTAATGCTTGTTATTAAATTAACAGAAAATAAAGACCTGGTTAATCCACACTAAAACTTTGTTTTACAATGGAAAAATACATCAGCAGCAGGAAGTAATATACATGAGCCAATGTTACTGTAATACAGAATGTGGAGACATTTACTGATTAAAGCTCCACATAGACCCGCACTATGAGGGCTGACAACTCCTATTGCAAGCCCAGCAACTTAAGTCCACACCTGGTAAACTACCAGCTGCTTGGAAGACCTGTATTCTAAATAGACAGGTATAAGTTAGTGAAAATAGAATACATGCACCTAATAATACAGCTTGACTGAACCTGCAGTCATTTTGCCCTGCATGTTACCATACAATGGAAGATCTACCCTTCCTACCACAGGTAGATCCATGGGATTTGTTTCTTTTTCTTTTAATGGCATTACTATACCAACATGGATATTAGTATTAAGTGAGTGCAGCACAGTCCTTTAATTAGGCCACACTGACAATTCTATAACTAGCACTTAAGTAGAATATCCAGAAGTAGTTCAAATATAACTGGAAGATACTTTCAAAAGTTGTGACATCATCCTAGAAACAGTAACTACTTTTTTTCTGAAGCTAATTTTCCTGAACCAAGACTTCGTAGGACTAGAAATTAATTCTTTAGACAAGTCAGATGCTTAAGCTCATGATATACATATATGTTTCTCAATTATCAGATAATAGTATTTCAGATTATGGAAGCATACCTGCTCATTTCACTGATTCATACTGAACAGCGGCCAAGTGTTAGGTAGGGCATAAAAATACAACTCATGAAAGACAGGTTTGACATTTCTGTTTCCAGACCTGTTCTTTCACAACCATTTATTTCAAGATAACCAAGCACAGAATCAGTTGTGCAGTCTAATTTGGGAGCTATACAGGTGGTAAAGTAACCATCTCCCCATCCAGCTCAAACTCATCACCTCCGTCTGTCGAGAAAAGATATGTTGGAGGCTTCCATAGGGACTCTTCAAGGCAAGACGGATACAGCTTTCCTACGGTGCACCGGAAGTCTTTCCCCAAGTCCCACAGCACACGTTCCGATATATGCTGTCTTAAAAACCAGCGATCGAGTTCCAGATCATATTGATAGGTGGCATACTTCGCTCTCTCGTTCATGTGGGTTTCTCGTATAAAGACACACAGAGAATTAGAGATGACAACCGCTCTAACGCATGGGTCAGAATACCGCTTGGCAGGGATATTGGCTGCCATTCTCCATTCATTTTTATTCACATCATAGATTTCCACGGTTACGGAAGACCCATCCACAGTACTGCTTGGGAGCCTTATGCCAGAATTGCTGGCAATATGCAGTCCTCCAATATAGAATATTTTATCACCAAAAGCAGCAGCTGAAGCAAAACATCTACTTGTTTGTCGCATAGCCATTTCTACCCAAGCGTCTGACCTGGGAAAATAGCAGTACATCAAGTTGTGTGCCATTACATAAATGCAGTTGTGAACTGCTACTGCTGTGCTCCATTGCCATGCACAAGGCAAGGGGCTGACCATGGTCCACTCATCTTTCTCAGTATCGTATCTCTCCACAGTTCTCCTGTTGAGTTCTCCACCGACACTATCTCCTCCAATTGCATAGATGTATCCTTCGCAGCAGACCAGGGATGGCTTTATACGAACAAAGAGCATCGGTGTCTTTGGAAACCAAGTGTTTTGCTGCGCATCAAACCAGTAAAAGCAATTCACAGTTCTGAAGGCAACCTGGAGTTTGCTGCTTTTACTGTGATTGGTTTTTGTGTTTTTCAGAGGAACTTGCCCACCTGCTATATAGATGTCATTATCAGGAGTTACAAGTGTCCCAACCTTATGCAGGTCAGCAGGAGGATTGCAAAGTTTGTAAACTTTTTCTGCCTGGGGGCTGTAACAGACAGAAGAATAAAGACTACCAGGGTTTTCAGCAGCAGCTTCAATGAATATCATCATCTCCTCTTTTGTCATACCAAGCCTGGGCTTGAAAAACTTGGGCATGGATTTGTACAGTCCTTGCACCACCACCGACTTATCATTAGGTGGTAAGCCTTGAAACCAGGCTCTCTGTGTCACTTCTGACAGTGCATCAATTCGGATTTGGCTAAGAACAGAGGACAAATACTGCGATCGTGATTCTGTGTTGTACTCCAGCCATAACATAGCAGCTTCACGAACTGTCTCCTCCTTTTCCACATTTAAATTGTCACTGCTTAAAATATCTATCAGTAGATCATGTGACAGTTGCATGAAAGCCTCCTGGTGGTACACAGCTGTGAACTTGTGCTCTACCATTCTTTTAGCACTCTGTTTTAACTCTTCACAGCTGAAGAGATCAGCAAAACTTAATAGACGCACACAATTTTCTGCGTTAATTTTTTTGATTAAGTATTCTCTACACCGTTTTAACACATCATCTACCTGTAATGCAAAGAAGAAACACACCAAGTATTACTGCGTGCAATCTATTCCTTCACGTACCCGCAGCAAGTAAAAGTACCTGCATTTAGTGTTGAACAAGAAAGTTTAGGCCTGGAATACTACATATACACAAAAATACAGCAGTGACTTAACTGCTTCATACAGATCAAGTACATCACATGACTATGTCTGCTGGAGAAGCTAATTTTCTACGTGTTAGAAGTGCACTGTTTTACTTCCACCCTCCATAAGGACCATGAAGCAAGGAGGGATGGGTACGTGAAATGTATCTGGCAAGCAACTACTGTCCATACTGAGCAAACCAAACGAGTATTTTGAAATGACAAAACAGAAAAGACTATTTAATAAGACAGAAAAAATGATTCTGAGATTAGAAGCAGTTACTGCACACTCAAAACATTCCTACCTGTAAGAAGCAGGCAGTTTCATAAAGCTGTTCTACTGTGCTGTCACTTATTGCCAGGTTACCCGTGTATGCGTAAGTTATGATAACTTGTAAAGTGGCTGCATCCACGTTCCTCAGGTGTACATGTGTTTGTTTACTTTCACTTAGCCCACTCATGAACATGGCTCTGAGAAGAAATACACATATTAAGACAAGGATCAATAGTTAAGTACAGTAATCTTAAATAGTCACCCATAGGTCTTCAGTGAAGGTGAAAAGTCTTTTAGGTTGCCTGTTTACAGGTGTTTAGTATTTACTTTAGGCTACCATCCAGTATTTAAGATTAAAGTATTTGTACAGAACATTCAAGAAGTACCATCAGTGTCTTCTGTAGAAATATTTTATATTTATGCAAACTCTTTTGTGTTAATCAGCAGAGAACCACAATGACTTTAGAGTTTTAATGATGAAATGTACAACTTTTTCTGTGTTAGGTAGTAAGAGGGAAGAAGCATCCTCCAGAAAATACTGCTGAAACATTTACAGACAGATTTTAAATTCTAAAACAAAAGCAGCAGATTTATGCAATGGACTAAGTCGTATCAAAAAGCACACTCCTCTGCGAGGAGGAAAAAGTTAGCTCAGAAAACGGAGCAAGGACTAGCACTCCATGAAGTATTTCTTATATACCATTCATAATAATATGCAGTGCACATCAGGTTTGTTTTTTGTCATTGATTTTTGTCTACAATCAGCGTTGGTCTGGGGAAAAAAAACAACAAAACAACACCCCAAAAAACCACCAGTGCATATTTCCATTACATCTTCCTGATCTTCCTGAAAAAGTAGAAAGGCAATTTAAAAAAAAAGGTTACTGTTTCCATAATGCTTTATATACTTATTGCCCATTCTGATTTTTTAATTGCAACACAGTTAAGAACTAACTGGATTCTAGTACTTCAGGTACTTGGCAATAAAATGTGGGACATTGATTTTAAGAGCTTTATATTCGTTCAGGTTGGGCCTTTACAGTTGTATTGAAAATTCAGCTCAAGGCTCTTTACATTTGTTTGGGGCATTTTAGGAAACCAGATTATGAGAGAAGTTAGAAGGGACAGTGGGTGCACCCTGCAGTCCTGCCTGCAGCTGGAGAGGTGAAGGGGACACGGAGATACACTCCCAAAGCAAAGCCACTCCAAGAAGCATCTGATACAAAAGACAGCACCCCACCACCATTCCCTCCTGCCCCATCCCCATCTCTGTCATCTTCTAAGCTCATTAACTCAGAGCAACTTGCATTTTAGGAGGGATCACTGACCGGCCAAGTGAGCATCAACTTGCCATGCAGCTTTTTAAAGGCAAGCAAGACAGTACAAGTACCAGCAAAGGCTCCTCTTCATAGAAAGGAAGAGGTAGCTGTGAGAGAATCTGGCTGTAGTGCACACTTAAGCACCACTGAGCGGCCTATGCTGGAGCTGGGCTGCTGCAGCACAGCATTCAAGCTCAAAGATGTAAGGGAAGCTGGCTGCGGTTGTACACAATGGCTGCATCATGCTAAGAGATGCTTTTCAGTTCTTCCCCCTCTCCCCACAGCCTCCTTCAGGGCTATCAATTTTTCATAATAAAGCTAAATTTAGGAAGCTGAGCATCTTTTTGTAAACCAATGTAGAGAAGAAAAACAACATGACAAAACCACAAGCTTGATACTTCTTTTAACCAGTGCCAAAACCTCATTCCATAAATAATAAACAAACGCATATGAATAAGAGATCTGACTGCATATTCTAATGCAGCACACTGTGTGGATTCATGACAGCTTTCCAACCTTATGATTAGCCACCCCCATTAAATCTGGCCACATTTCCAGTGGCTGTTATTTTATAGACTGTTGGAACTATGTCATCTGCACAAGGCCAACGGCAATAATCATTATCTAGTGATCACACAATTCTTGTTGCTAAAAATTTTACCAGACTCATCTGAGATGGAAAAATTAACACAAATCATCAGCAACAAAATCTTCTGTGAAAGTAATAAATTAATCCTCAAATAGTTTTACACAAGAAAGCACACAATAACAGAAGAGTGTTAGAAGTGTTCTGTATAGTGAGCCATCTCAATGAGAAAACAGAATTTGCAAACCCTCCCTTGATTAAACAGGAAAGAAAAGTTATAAACACTCCACAATGCATCAGGAAGGTAAAACATGCATGATGTCACCGAGACCAGTTTCAAGCTTCAAAATTCCTTCCAGACAGGCAGATTAATTACACTGTATTGCCAACAAAAAATGATTAATCACTGCAGAAAATTCGAGGTGCCTCATCTTCTAGGTCTTACTATGAAGGTATCTGCAAAAAGTAGTAGTACTTGACATCTTAATAAAAACTTTTCAAAAGACAAAACCAGGACACCTGGGAAGCAGGAGCTACTGAAATAAAAATTGCAACAGCATGCCAGTGGGGGGAAAAAATAAACCCAAACAAAAAAACCACACACACAAAAACCCTGTTGCATTGCAGCAAGACTCTCAGACAAGACAAGAGTTTCTGGCTTCTTTGCTGAGCAGAGAAAACCAAATGATTCAGAAAATGAAGCTGTGAACTTGCACAGCAAGCCCTACTTTTAGCAGAGGCTTCTGCTCAGAAACTATAGTTAATAAACATGACAACAGAACTCCCATAGTGAAGTCTCAATAATCCCTAGTTACCCTACCTTGGGAAATAAAAAAAAAGTTTAAATATTTAAAAGTACAAAGAATAAAAAAATGTACTAATTATTCAGACTATTAACTCCCTAAAGAAAACAAACTATCACAAGTGTGACTTTTTTTCCCCCCCTCTCATCTCACTTACTGTAAAAACTACAGTACCTATCCACAGTAAGTTACAAGATGCTGGAAAATTTATTTTACTCCTTTGGTGTTGGCAAGTAATGATATTTAGGTTTTCTACTTACTTCACTGATCTTTAAAACTCTCTGCAACACATTAATTGTTAATTAAGTAATACTACACTCAAAAACAGATTTTCTAGAATTAACAGATCCTAATTTGAATACTTACCTGAAATATGAGCTGCATGTTGCAAGAACCATCTTATGGCAGGGAAATTCAGTGCCCTCAACAATCAACACTATGTCAGTTAGCAACTGCTGTTCATAAAAGAATTTTAACTGCTCCAGCAAGGATACAGCATACTCAGTATTTATCTGCCTCTCGTCCTGGGTAGACATGACTGTATTCCATTAATATTTCCAGGACCAGAGAGAGAAGTCAAGATCTTTTCGCCAGCAAAGGTCAGTTGAATGTTTCTGATGTAACCAGGGAAGAAATGGCAGGAGGTCTGTAGCCTTCAGAAGTGATATTGATAAAAAAAGGCAGCGTTATCTTGGACTGCTGAATCAATGTTGCAGACTTTGACCTATTAGGTCATCATGTTTTGACGATGTCACAATCTGTTCAGACGTTTTCAAGAGTGTCTGCAGAGCTCCTGTTGAGATCTATGATGCAGCAAATGAATGAGCAAAAGCGAAGTCTGAGGTAGGTTTTCCGGTAACATCTCGTGATCAGTGGCTGCACTTGAGTGACTAAAAGCAGGAAAATAAAATTAATTTACATTAGCATTTTTAAGGGGTAACTATGAAAGGTTTTTCTTAAATTGTCTAGCAAACGTTTCTAAATTCATACTTCATTACTTGCACAAAAACTCACTGAGAAAAAATTAAACAACAAAAGTATCAAAGCGAAATGAAAAGCAGAAGAGTTTGTACATTAATTCCCATCAAGACCTAGACTTACAAATGAAGAAAATTTATTTCATCAACACAGCTTCTAAGACCAAAGAAGACTTTATTCCTCTTCCAAGAGCTACCCACTGGGCACACCTGTATATTTCCTTCAACCACTGAGAAGATAGCCACATTTTTTTCATCTCCATATTAAATGGCTACTTTTTCCGCTTCTGTGGTTTTGTCTACTTAAAGCTTATCAATACCAGGCCACTAAAAATATAAATGCAATTTCTTCAACATTCCATCATTTTCCAACTAAACTCTCAACATCATCATCAACCCATTTATTTCACCTTTGGCATTCTACTAGAGAACAAGCAGAACCAGAGCTTAAGGATTAAAAAAAAACCCAAACCAAAAAAACCCAAACCTAACAGCCTATATTCCCACTGCTTATTTGATTCATCTTTTCTGTGCAGAAGGGCTTCACCTATTACCATTTCACATTCCTTTTTTTTTTTCTACTGAGTCATTTCTATACAGCCAGGTAAGCATGACTGCTGCAGACTGGAGAAAAGAAAAATAAGGAGATAATAGGAGCAAAGGGATGCTGGAATAGTAGGGGTCAAAACACTTGCAGTGGTTCTAAAGCAATGACCACAGGCTACCAAAGTCTGTTTTCTTGTTTGGACATCTCTCCTCTTAAAAATGGGGTCAGGTTTTATCTTATCTTCCATGTGCATACAGAAACATAAGAATGGGACAGTTGTGACAGTAAAATCACCATCATAAAGGACATCAGAGTACCAAATTATCAAATACTCCCAGATTTATTTACTCTTGCACTGTTCTTTTGCATTCCAAAATCAAGGACTAATCAGGGACATGTTTATCTAATGTCCAAGACATCACAATCATTATAGTTCATGATGAAAAGTGAATACAGAAATACCTCACTTGAAATGACATACTTTAAATTCCATACAAAATTATACAATTTAGTGTAGATGAAGGCTGTAGAAACACCTGCCAGCCATATCAAAGATCTGCTATTTTAACAGAGCCCTGCCTGTAAGATAATTCAAAGACAGCTGTCTTAAAATTCACTCACTTGAAACATATATGCTTAATTAATGCCACTTTAATTACTACTAATTTGGTGTGACTGATCTTTTTTTAGTGAAAAAATATACACAAACAGGAATCTCAGACACTTAGTTTTCACTGGTTGTTTAACTGGAAAACAGTCAAAATAGTCAAACCCAATGCTTGTTGTTTGTTCAGGTGAAGCCAGTTAATTAAAATAGAAAAGGTGTTAATATTTGGGGGAGGAGGAGGGAGAGACTACTGTCTAGTATAATAACATATTATCTTTAAGTCTTGACTTCAGACCTTCAAGTTTCAAGTGCAGTTAACTGCTGAAGTCACTAAACCACAAGTACATCAAGGCTATACAAAGATATTGCTTGTCTCAAGCAGCGACCTTCTCTTTCAAGTCACAGCTTCTTTTCACCAAATTAGTATGCATCCTGTCTCTGCGCCACTGACCACTATCCTGGTTATCTGATAACAGCTTAACGTGCAACCTAATCCATTGACAGATTTTGCACTGAACTTTAAATGACTACAGAGACACACAGACTTCCCAAGTGTGTTAGGCCCACAGAATAAATAGCTCATGGCTCTACTGGTATCCCAGGTCTCTCTACAGCGTTGTTTTTCCTGGCTTAGGAGTAAAGTTTCAAGAACAATACAAGCCGGTGGATTAAGCTCTGTTCGGGCAGAGCATCAGTAGCATTAAGCTTTAGCAAAAGAAGTCACTGATACCATAACTTCCTATTCCAATGTATTATTTTAAATAATATAAATCTTTAGAAACCAGGGGGAAAAAGCAAAAACTAATATGCACTGTTTTAGCCACCAGGTAACAGAACCAGTCGAGGATGCCACAGAGAAATTGATATACACCTGCTAGTAACATTAAAGACATTCTTGGCAGCATGCGGCTGACAGTCAATAACTGAAAAAACAGACCTGTCCAACAGAAGACGAGTTGAAACTGTGAAATTAATTGCTATAAATAGCTGGAACATTTGAGTATGACCCTCAGCAGCAGAAAGGATTGAGGAGATGACGGGAGTCTTGTTGCAGAACATTTATGTGATGTGAACTACCTCTAAACGGTAAATTTACAAAGCTGGAGTCCTTGATTTACAACTGATCTGAAACCATCTCATTTCCATGATATGCTCCAGGGAAGTGCAGATGGTAGGAACATGTTACATACATGATTCCTGTTTTCCACATCCATACCATTTTGCTGCTGATGCTAACCATTCTCTAAAGAACAAAATTTTGTATTTGTCAAAGTCAGGAGTCACATTCCATCCCTTTCTAGTGAAACTGTAACTAAATACTCCTCAGGAGAACAATACATACATCAAGGATCTCTGAATTTCTGGTCTAAATTTACCATAATTTCTATTCTCATTTGCTCAAGAGAAGTGAATCTACTCAAAACATTAGGATAAGTAGTGTAAGAACATCATTTTGTGCCTGGAAAGTCATCCAAGACTAGCTACCTCTCTTGCACCACTCTGAAGAAAGAGTTCAAGACAAGTGTAAATGAGATATTCTCCTCACTTTAGAGGCTGAAAACCTGAGGAACTGAAATAAGAATCAGCTTGTCCAAAGCCACATACTTGCCAAAGGAGAACTGTAAGAGGCTCAGTTCTCCCCAGTCCCAACCTAACATCTCATCACACTGTGCTTGTGTGGCATACAGCTCTTAGATCTCAGCTAACTGAAAAACTATGAACTTCAAAAGATGTGCATCTACAAAAGATGTGGTGCATCTGTAGATGCACCAGTCTCCTGTAGTTGTCCTAATACACAGCATTGAACATTTCTGATTTATGGGTGAAAAAAAATCTATGGCTGAAGTTAGCTTAATATCCTGAACTGAGATTCTGATAGAATAAAAATAATCCTTGAATACAAGTTCTATGAATAAGACTTTACCTTTCAATGATGTCACTGGAATGACCGTTCTGTTCTGGGTAACTTCTTGGAAGTCAGCTAAAACAGGACTGGTAGGTAGCTGCTGGAAGGCCACAGCAGTACTGGATTGCTACCAAAATGCTACCAGGTGATCCAAAGTAACTCCCTATCAAGCTGAAGAGCAACATTAAGTAATAGCTTGATAAGAGGGTTTGGTTTTAAGTAATTACTCCTTTTAGCTTAAGTCATTTTAATGGGGTTGGCTTTTAACACTTGTTCTTCTACTTCAAATATGAATGAGACCATTCCAAAAATTAGTCATCGAATGTTAATGAGTATTGGGACAGACTATTAATTGCCTTCCTTGAATCTGTTTATCTTCTGAGGTCAGGCAAAGACTGATAGAGATAAATTCTGCACTACACACATCAAAGTGTTAGCATTATATTTCAATGTATAACATGGAATGAATAAATATATTGACTATTTCCAGTTTAATTAGTACGGAAAGGTATAGGATATATAGTCTTCAAGTGGACTATACAATACAAAAATTTTACTTTATTTTTTCCAAACTATGAGAAAGGCAAAATAGATATATAGACATGCAATTTTTAATTTTTTTTTAAACTTAGATATTGAAAATCCCATTAAGAAGTCTGCCAGATTAGATGCCTAACTTCCAATAAAATTCCGGGAAATACTTAAAGACCTATAAAAGTCTCACAGGTTCCTATCTGCATCTTCAGCCCTCTAAATACCTCTTGAATTCTAACTTCACTAACTACAATTAACATTTCAATAAACCTGTATTTTTGGAAGAAAAAGAAAATAAAACTCAAGAAAAACTTACTTCCCTGGACATTCAACTTATATAATCTAGTTTTAACTAACAAAAAAAAAGCTTTAAATACTACTTTTGTGCACTTTTAATCAAATTCCTATTTCCATCCAAGGGCAGCTTCATACAAAGCACAAGTAAAAACACGTCTAAAGAAGTGAGTCATTCACTATTTTTAACATAATAAAATGTCAGAATTAAGGACTGAACAACCGTAAGCCAAACTACACAAGCATTCATGTGTGTAGAGATAGCAATCCTCCCAGCTAGCGCTGAAAGTACACACTTAGTTACTATTAAGGATATGCTGAGTTACAAATCAACACGTTTCAAAACAATTATGCCAACTAATAGCAAGGGGGAATACAAGTACTAAAACCAAAATAAATAATTTAAACTAATACACCTAGCCAACAGATCTCAAAGATAGGAAAAAAAGAAGAAAAAGGAGTTGGAAGCTCTAGATTCTTGAGTAATGTATCAAATTCACATCCTTGGCAGCGAAAAAGAAATAGGTAATTGATGAAGCAGTTCCAGACTTGGAAGTTTTCCGCTCTTCTAAAGCCATCAAAGGTGTCTTTGATACCACTGCCGTCCAGAAACCTGAGGACATCAAGGAGATTCTAATAAGGCAATAACATGAAATTTCACAAAAAACAAG